TGTGTGGCAGAAACTTGGAAGGGCCCACCTGCATTGCTTCATTGCTGCAATGTCTTCTGGAGGAGGGAGGAGAGGGAGGAAGGGGAGCTGGCCTTTGCCTGCAGATTAATCTGAGTTGAACACAATGATGGTAAGGATCTGACAGCTGCCTGCCCCAGCGAGGATTAGCCACGAGGAGAAGGGTGCAGGGAAGTTTCTTGGCTGTGCTCTTACTTTGTGCTAAGGATGAAGGGGAAAAGCCACCATCACCCCCTGAATGGACCATGCCATCATTCCCATCACTCTCCCCTCGCCACTGCCCACACCCTCCCCTCCAGGCAGGACAGAAGCTGCTATCAGGGTCTCCCCTGTGTTCTCTCCCATTTCAAGCACATCCCCTGTCCCCATCAGGACACTGCATACTTCACACTGGGGCTCCCTTCCCATCTGCCTCTTTGAGCAGCCCTGTGGGGGCCCACAGGTCCCAGGCACCACCAGGTGGGCAGCTCAGCCAGGGATTGCTTGGTGGGACCACAGCCAGGTGCTGTGTCCTCCTGCCACCCTGGGGGAGTCCTGGCAGCACACGGAGCAGGGAGCAAGGTGCACTTGTGCCTCACTGCTCATTGCACAGGAGCAGTAGTGTTTGCCAGCTGGGTAAGTGCCTGCAGCTGGGGATAACGCCGGCAGCCATCCGTGTTCTGGCTCAGGAACTGAACAGCATATTTGGAGGTACGAGAGCGTGCGCTTGTTTTAGTTGGCGTTTGGGCTGGCAGGGCTGCTGTTGGAGTGGCTCAGAGAGGCTGGCAGCATGTGCTTCTCTTGTGCTCCAGGAGCCTCAAGCCAGGCTCAAGGTCCCCTGACCCCTGTGAGAGAGGCTTGCTCACAAAAGGCATCCTCAAGGTACTGGCCTGCTGCTGCTGCCCATCCTGCTGTCCCAGGCAGCCCAAACTCTGGCAGCACTTGGTGAGAGGTAGGAGCAATCAGTGAGCTCCACAAGGAGCTGATTGTTTCTGGGAAGCTTATTGTGTCCAGACTCTTGCAGATTCCCTTTTTTTTTTTTTATGGCTTTTTTCCATGACTGTTGGTTTGTTTCCCCTTTGGTGAGGGAGAGGCCATGCAGCTGCATAGGCTCATGCAGTGCACACTGGCTGCACCCTGCAACCTTCCAGGAGCATCCTCTAACCACAGGCACCCGGGGTCTGGCCTGACATCTCGTTTCACTTCATGTTGTTTTGACTTGGTTCCTTGATTCCCCAGATGCCTGTGGGGGAGGCATTCCTGGAGATGTGGATTCACGGGGAAGGTGCACATCCTCAGCAGCCAGCCCAGTGGCAGCTGCACAGCTGGTGTGGCAGGGTTGCAGCCTCTTGAACATCAGATGAGTATAGGCACACAAGCCCAGTCTGCTGCTTGTGGGGCAAGTGCTTTGAGCTTGCTGCTGGTCTCCCAACTGGCAGTAACGCCTGCATCTTGCCTTTCCTGCCAGCTCAGGCACCCAGCTGCTTTACCAGAGGTTTTCAGCTTATCCCATGAAGTTGTCCCATAACCCAGAGCTGAAGTAAATGAGTGGAAGTTCACAGATTTGAACAGTCTTTCCCCACTTGTTTGCCTCTTGCTGTAGAGAAGGCCCTACAGAGTACAGCTGGTGTTGGAGTGGTCCCTCCTGGCCTGGCAGCTGTCCCCAGCAAGGTGTTTGGAAGGGTGTGATGGCAGCTTTGTGAGCTGGGGCTCGTGACCGCCGGGCTGCGAGGCAGGGGAGGTGCGGCCGCAGCGCCCTGTGCTGGGCCAGCAAGGGAAGTCCTGCTGGAAGCAGCGTTTTTTATCTGGGCTGCCTGGGCCTGGCGTTTGAATGCTTGGAAATGCTCTTCTCCAGATGTTTCCTAGCACACGCCGGCTCTGTTTATAAACAGCTCCTCAAAGCAAAGCCTGTTGGGGCTGCAGGCGGGCGCTCGCGGCAGGCCCCGCACGGCTCCCCTGCGCCATGGCACGGGGTCTGGGGCCACAGGTCACCTCTGTCCCCTCCCATCGAGATGGGTTAGAGCAGTAAACAAAAGCCCCAAATGCCTCCTCTTCCTTTCTCCTCCCTTTCTCCTAGCTAACAGCTTCCTGCTCCAATGCATCCTGGTGCTGCTGCCTTCCTGCCCAGGCTTTTGCTGCTGGGGGCATGGAGAGGAGGGCACACTGCCCTGCCTGAGCTGCTTGTTCCCAGGGAGATCCCGGCCACTCCAGGGGCCTGGGTCAGGGAGACATTTCCATTGCATCTAGCTGGGGTTCAGTTCCTTGATGATTATCTCAAGGGCACATCCTGGCAGCAAGCTCATCCAGCCCCTGGAGTTTTCCCCTTATGTTTTGCCAAAATTTGAGGTGAGTGCCAAGGGGCGATGTGAGGCAGGACAGAGTGGAGTGGGTACAGGCTGTGTCAGCTGTTTGGCTGGTTGTGCTTTTCCAGCCCCATCTCCTCTGAAGAGAACAATGCTCTCATAATCATCACTCCTTCCACTTCTAACTGGGTGGAGGTGCCTTTCAGCCATGCTCTTCTCTGTCCTGGCAGGACAGAGACCAAAACCTGCTTGAAAGAGAAAAGCCAAGAAAAATCCTGTCTAAACAGCTGCTGCCAGTGGCCCTGCCAGGACACCTTTCCCTTGGTTGGCCTGAGCTCAACAGGGGCAAGGCTGTTGTGCTCAGCCGTGAGCAGGATCCCAAACCATGGGCACTGCAGAGCCACCTGCAGCTCATCACATCCTGGATCTCACCTCAGCATCACTCCCTGAGGATGGCCCTGCCCTCCCTGCCAGCCCCACACCCCACACACGGCTGAGGGAGGACAGCCCTGTCACAGCCAGTGCTGGGAGGAAGGGCTGAACAATTGCTGCTTGTCAGGCTGTCTCCTCTTCCTGTAGAAAAGGGCATGTTATCAGCCATCCACAAGTCATCTGGGGAACAGCACTACTGAAAAACTGAGTCATGTTGTACAAATTTGCTTTAGCCCCACCATGGCCTGGCAATGCCAAGGGCCTGGGTGCTTGCAATTTTTTTATCCTGGCTGCTTGCAGTGGCTGTAATCTTGTCCCTTAGCTTGGGCAGCATGTATTTGGAGGTAAGAATGTAAAAGGAATCAGCTTCACTGCTGTGGAGCTGGAAATATGCTCCCCTCTGTGGCACTGCTTACCCTCTCCCTCCTGTCAGCTTCCAGCATAACGTTCTGGGCAGGGGGATGGCTTTCTTGGCACTGCCAGGGAGAAGCAGAGAGCAGAGGATGCAGAGGTGGGCTTGAGCCACTCCCTGGATCTGAGCACTTCAGAAGGCTGATTGGTACATGGCTGGGGCTTGTCTTTGCAGGTTGAGCTTCCCTCTAATGCTGCATGGAGAATGTTTTGCCTCCCTTTTCTAAGGAGCAACCCATCCATGAGTTGTCTTTGCCTGTCCTCAAGACACAACTGCTCTTTGCAGAGGCAGAGCCCTTTATCCTTTCCCCACCCTTTAGATCCAATGAGCACTGCTGCCCATGAGCTCTGACAAGGCAGCCTGTCCTCCACTCCCCTTGCCTAGCAAGCATGGATACGACTGCTTCAAGACTGAGCCCTCCTTCCATGGAAAACTGGCACTGGGAAAAACCCTTTCCGTTCTGAATCAGGTGGAAGGGAGTGGTGTAAAGACCCTTAATGAAATGGGAAATATCCATGCCTTAATGGAAAGTTTTAAGGAAGTGATGCTGCATGATGCTTGTGGTTCTCCAGATCAGGAAATAAAAAAGATATTCACAGTTGGCATCATTAACAGATCCACATTTCTGCTGGGAAAAAAAAAAAACCAGAAAAAAAAAATAGATCCCATTTCTGCTGGAATAATTCTGCTGGTGGCTGTGTAATCCTGGCTGTCACCTTGGCCAGTCTCACTGTGCTGGGACCCAGAGCACAGGCCAGAAGGATGGATTTGATAGTCTGATCCTGTACAAGCTGTAGCAAGAGCCTGTGGGAGCTCAACATGGCTTCTTAAAAGAAAAATGTAAATTTAAATGTTTGCAGTGGAGAGCATTGCCTCTGGAGCTGTCCCAGGGGCAAATGTCCCTGCATCTTCTTACATCTGAGGGAGTCCAGCTTCAGCTTCCAAGCATGGGACCACTTTAAACATTTGGGCATTAAATCTACCAAGTTCTTGTTGCCTTGAGCTGCATGGAGACTTGGGTGGTGTCTGACAGGTTTGAAAAGGAACCAGTGGCAGGCTTGCCTTATTCTTTCTAACAGTGTTTCTCCTAGACTATCTTCACAGCAAGGTGTAAAAAACCCCTTCTGTAACTTCACATTAAGTGTGGGGGCTGGAAGGAGAGGGCAGTGCTGGCAGCCCTGGGCTGTGAGACAGTGGTGGAGGTCATGGGTCTCTCCTTCCCTCCTCTGACACAACAGGCTCAGACTGCTGTCAGGTGCTCAGCTTTGCAGCAGAGGATGCTGTTTGAGGGAAGAAGACTTTCAGACTGAATGGGAGCAATTTTGGAGGGCAGATCCAGCTACTTGGGGAATAGCATGGGATTAATTCAATTCCTGCAAGTAGCCAGTGTATGTATGGTGAGGTATATTCTCTGACACAGGACTGAGGAAGGAGCCAAAGAAATTTCTGGGCTGCTTGCTTAGGTAATTTAAATTAGGACACTTGTGGTGGTTCACCCAAGGCTCTGGGGATGTGGTTTTGTCTCTCTGCACAGCCCTGTGAGCAGTCACGCGATCCTGTGTCCACTTGACTCACTAGAATGATGCTGGTACAAACAAAAGAGGCTTTGGGAGATGGTAAAGCAGCGTGGTTTGAAGTCTGAGCAATATCCTGTGCAGGGGGATGGAAAGAAAGGAGGCCTGTGAAGCACTGGCTGTTCTGAGAGGCTGGGTGTCTCCAGAAGAAGACAAGCATGGTGAGATCCCTTGGGTGGGTGGTAGATCCTTGCTGTGATCCAGACCTGCCCAGACTTGAGCTGGCTGCTCTTCAGGCTGCCCTCCCTGACATCCCTGTGCCTGTTCTTCCTCTCTTTCCAGGCACACCTTCTGGCAGTATCGCCGTGAGAACCCCCAAACCAAAGTGGGGGAGCCCCCTCCTGATGGGCTGCCAGGCTTCAACAGTGGTGTCCTGCTCCTGAACCTGGAAGCCATGAGGCAATCCAAGCTCTACAACCAGCTGCTGGAGCCCACCATGGTGCAGAAGCTGACGGAGAAGTACCACTTCAAGGGCCACCTTGGGGACCAGGATTTCTTCACTATGGTGGGGATGGAGCATCCAGAGCTTTTCCATGTGCTTGACTGCACGTGGAACCGGCAGCTTTGCACGTGGTGGAGGGACCATGGATACAGCGATGTGTTTGACCAGTACTTCCAGTGTGAGGGGGAGGTCAGAATTTACCATGGCAACTGCAACACCCCCATCCCTGAAGACTGAGGCACCCACTGCCCCCAGGGGCAGCTCTGACTGCAGCAGGGCCATAGTGGCTGCACTAACAGTCCCTCAGGAAGGGTGACCAGCTCTGATCCAGCATAATCCAGGGGAATCTAGGGATCCCAAGAGCATTCAATATCCCACTGCCTGTAGCCTCACCCTCCAAGAGGAAGGGCAGTTCAGTTGTTGGAACAGGCTTCCACAGCCACTGTACCCAGGGCTCAGCCCTGGCTCTGCTTGGCCAAGTCCATGGTGCCTATCTGGTGCCCATCTGTGCCTCAGCTGCTGGGGCATGGGAACAGCCATGGGCCCATCAGAGACTGCTGCTTTTGCACTAGGCAGGGCCCAGCTCCCTGGGTGCTGTGCAGCTTTGTCTTGTCTGATGGTCAGCAGGAGTGCCCAGTGGGCAGTTTGGTTTCATTTGTCATTCCTTGGTGGCCCATTTCTGCACCTCATGCAGGGAGTTTGTCTGGTACCTCTGGAGAGCAGACACTGTCTTCAGGTCATCTTCCTTTTGAAGCATTCCAGAAAAGTGAGAGGGCTTTAAAGACTGAGAAGCTGCTTTAAATTGGGTTATTTACAAAAAAAAATGATTGAATGCTAGATAAGCTTTAAAGCCTTCTGTTGGTTCTTCTGAGCAATAAAAGCTTTACTGCCCTATGTTGTCCTAGTGAATGTGTAGCAATAGGTTCATTTTTCTAGCTTTGCCTTTAACCTTTTATACAAGAATAAAGCTGCAGATATCAGACACGCTCGGCTGTTTTTCTGTGGCACAACTGAAGTCCTGTGCAACAGGAGGTTTCCTGCACTTATCATGTTTAAAAAGTAGTTGATGTGTATCTGCTGGGCAGTTGAATGTGGTGCCCCACATAGCTTATCCCACATCTATCCCATGTGAGTAATGCAAATAAACAAGCTGGATATTTAAAGATCGTCACCACCATTGCCAGGGTTGATTTGGAGGGTGCTGGGAGCTGCCTGTGCTATGAATGAGTGAGCTTCAGGCTGAGCACACTGTTCCTTGAATAAATGCTGCCTCAGTGAGCCTGGCTGGCTGCACAGGTCTGTGTCAGGGACGTGCATGGCTCACTAACCATCTCCAGCCCATGGCTCATTAACATTAACCACCTCCAGCCCAGCCCAGCTTGTTTCACACCCTGTGTGTGCATCTGTGTGATGTGCACGTGCAAGAGAGGCGTGGGGAGCTGATTGTTCGTTAGCCTGATAACAGAACACACCAAATACACCAAATATGTGGCAGGAGTGTCCTGGGCTCCTTCCCCCATGCCCATGAATGAACTTAGTGAGGGAGAGGCTCTCCTCCCTCAAACTGATGTGCAGAGACAACAGGCTGTGGTATGGTCTGCATCCTGAGCCCTGCCCTCTCTGATGTGCTGAATCAATTCATTTCCAAATAGCACAAAACCTTGTCTTCAAGTATTTTCTCATTCCCAGGGAAGGAACAGTAAAGAGGTGATTAAAGGTGAGGGAAAGATGCAGTTCCTTGCTGTGTTAGACTCACATTTTCACCAAAAAACAAGGTGATCCAGCCTCACTGTGCAAGGCAAGGCAGCCAGCCTTGCTGGAGGCTGTAGCGGGGCAGGGTTTGGGGCAGCTGATGCACTGTGATGCTGCACCCTGAAGGATGAAGAGGATTATTATGGTGTTTACTGGTCAGGGCACACTGGTGGCACCAGTGACACATGGGGTTTCACATGCCAGGGCAGGACCTTGCCATCAAGTTTGGAAATGGCCATGCTGGAAATACAGGCCAGGCTGCTTGTGTCACCAGCACTGGGGAGGGGTGGGGTGATGAGCAAACATGGCTTTTACTGGGGACTGAGCAGCTCTGGGGTGACTGTGGGTGTCATGGCTGGCCCAAAAGGACCATGATGCATGCTGCAGGGTGACACCTTGAGAGACAGGGCTGTGTGGGGCCAGGTGCCCTCCCTGCCCCACAGCCATCCCTGCAGCTGGGCCAGGCATTGTGCTCTCTACCTGCAGCCAGGGGAGGCTCTGTAGGGTTAGGAGCACTTCTCCCTCTCTGGAGTCCCAGTCTATGTGGGGGAACACCTGCATGGGGCCACTATTGCACCAGGCTGAAACCTTTTGCTCAGGTATTTTCCCAGAAATCAATTCCCTTTTTTTATTTTTTGTTCAAAATCAGAGTCCACTGGGAAACTCACTGCGGTTTTTTTCAGCTAGGAAAAGCGTAGTTAAATGAAACATTTAATTGAGCTTTATTGGTTTTCCCCAGGCAGCACAGAGAGCCCCGAGGCCCAGCTCCGCACACGCGCTGCCGGCCCCGGGCCCTGAGGGAGCGCGGCGGGCAGCGAGGGCCGCGCCGTGCTATTTATAGAGCCCGCACGTAGCCCAGCCATGCTCGCTGTGTAATTATCTCCCCTTCATGCCCTGCTGATTGCAGGCACTAATGAGCTCAGCTCAGAGAGGCCGTGGCGGCCTGGGGCTGACTCGTGCGGCCTTTGGGAGGGTGCTGCCCCCGGGTGTGCTGTGGGGCAGGAGCAGAGCTTGCTGTGCGTCCCTGAGGGCACCGCCTGCCCAGGAGCCCTCACCCCCACAGGCGGTTCCTGCACTAAGTGCCCAGTCGGCTGCATTTCCCTCAGTTCCTGGAAGAATGGGGACTTTCCTTCCCAACCCTTTTTGACCCTCTTGCACCCTCCTGCTGCAGCCCATCCTCAGACAGGTGTTGCTCCAGGCACACAAATTCAGACCCGAGCATCCCCCATTATGCTGGCCCAAGGCCAGGACAGCCAGCACTTAGCAGCTGCCAGTACAATCATGGTGAAAGATGCCCAAAAACCATCGAACAGCACCAGTTTGCCCTTGGGCACTGGGGATTTGCTGTGGTGACCCTGCAGCAGCAGCAGCACTGGACTGACAGGCAGCTCCTCACCTCCAGAGGGCTGGCACCGTGTCCTTGGGCCAGCGCTGGTTCCCTGCCTAGCAAAGGGCATCTGCAGACTCCAGAGCCTGCTCATGGACTGGCTGGAGCCCCTCTGAGATGCAGCAGGCTAAAGGCAGCCCTTGGTGAGTGGCAAGTGGGGACATGCTGCTGTGACACACAGCAGTGGGGGGACACAGCTGTGGGGAGCGGGACACCAGTCCCACCTGCACAGGCTGGTGGCAAGGGATGGGGCACAATGTGTTGGAACCCATGGGAGGGCTGCAGTGGGCCCAGCCAGGGTCTCTGCAAGGATGTGGTGGGCTTCATCCTCAAGTTACTCAGCCTGGAGCTCCTCCATCACAGATTCCTGCTCCTTGTCTTCTCACCTGCTGGCTCACAGCAAAGTGCTGCTCATGTCAAGAGCCCCATGTTTTTCCGGGATGGAGAAGGAGATGGGAGAGCAAAGGGGTCTCCTTTGTAGAAGATTGGGCTTTGGAAAATATCTCTTTAGCTTAAGCTTTAGGGGAAAATTCAGTTTCTATGTCATTCAGCATTCATGAGAAATTGCACGTACAGAAAACAGTATTTATGATTTTCTGCCCAGCTTTGCTTCCAGCCCTGTCCTGGAGCTGCATGAGATTTTTGCTCTCCTCTCCCTGTGTTTCGTAACACCATCAGTGTTTATTCTCTTACTCATTTGTACTTCTTTCCCATTTGAAATAATCAATTGTTAGTATAAACTCACCTAGGGAGCAATTAGTGTGAGCCTAACCCAAACAGGCACTGGGGTGCTCCATTAAGGAATATCCCCGCCCTCCCTCTCCACAGATCCCAGAGGATACAGTATTTACTTTTCAGCTCTGCTATTCAAACTGAGCGCACTTCGACCAGCGTGCCAAGAATAACACAAAGCCTAACAACGGGCTGCAGCGCTAAGATGGAGTTCCTGACTTTACAAACCAAAAAAATAAAAAGCCAACCTATTATTTTGCCTTTGCTGAGAAATGCCTGGCAGCAGCAGAGCAGGCAGGCGCCAGAACCACCCCTCTGCCCTCAACAGAGCCATGGGCAGCGTGAAATCTGTCCTGAGGGACACAGAAAAAGGCAAAAAAGAAAAGAGCAGTAAGCCTGGGACACGGGTCAGCAACTGCCTGCTTTTCCTTTTAATGCAGATGTTATTAGCTTGCTGCAATGTTTTGTGAGCATTTCCTCAAAAGCTTTGCAGAGCCATGGAGGGACACATTCCCCAGCACCTGTACATATTTCAGCCAGATTTTCAGTAGCTCTATTTCTGACCATCACGAGCCTCTGCAGATTTAATTGCTAATTGCAAAGAAATTGCTGCCCAGTCCTGTAGCCTTTTCACTGCCAGCAGGGTTTGCTTTGTCCAGTTCTCCTCTGGAAATTATTTATTCACTAATCAGCTGCTAACAAGGGAAGCACTTGGAGCAAATTACCTTCCTGAGGTATTTCATGGGCATTAGCTGCATTGTACCAAAAGTCTCAGTGTTAATTTAGACAATTTGCCTACCTGAAGAAAAAGCTGTAACAAAGCAGAGCCTGGAGCTTCCAGAATGAGCCACAGGTCTGGACCTCCAGGAGGCTTTGGCATTGCCCACCAAAGAGGGAACGCTCAGCCATTTGTGGGGTGTTCCTGAGAGCCAGATGTGGTTTTTTGTGGGGCAGATGTTGCCATTGTGGCAGGTAGGAAACCATGCCCTGGGGTTCCAACTCCCTTCAGAACAGATGGGCACCTTTGAGCTCTTTCTCCTGGTTCATTCCTGATGGATTTGGCACCATGCAGCCCTGGCAGGGCGTTTGTCCCGGTGTCAGTCTTCACCAGCACAGCTCCAGTGCCAGCTTCTCCTCCTGCTCCTGGTCAGCCATCGTTTAGCAGCAATTTGTGACCCTGCTGGGGACAATCCTGAAGCTGTGCAAGCCACAGGCTGCCAGCAGAGCCCTGTTCTCAGAAGGCACTGCATGAACTGTCTCCATTTATCACCTACAGACCTCTTGCTCTTAGTGCATTGTGCAGCTGTTGAAATGTTTGTGGCCTTTGTTACAACACATCCCCTCCTTGGAGCTGGTCAGGATAAACAGACACCTAAGGACAGGATCAGTTTAGGGAATAAATCACTTGTGGATGCCCTGTGGCACAGGGGGCTCTAGGAAATGTGTCAGAAAAAAAAAGGTGCATTTTTTTCCCCTACATGCTTTTCATGCTTTTTCCTTTCAAACTCATTTCTTTTCTGTGCTGGAGGACTTTTCTGGCTACCTTGGGAACACAGCAAAGACATCTCCTTCAGCATAATCAGCTGAGCTCAAGGGAGAGGGGAGTTTTATACAGAATTCTTAAAAACACCAGCAGCAGTAGGGAAAAAAATGAATGGCATTTGAGACTGGGCCCTCAGCTGTGGAATGGGGGCATGGAGAGCTGGCCAGGTAAAGGATGCTCAGCTGACCTGACGGGTCCTATGGTCCTGCATTAAAAACCATTTTCTGGAAAAGAGGGCATAATGGTGACATGGCAGAATCTGCCACTGATGCTGAGCTGTTCAGGAGAGGGAAATGTTGAGCCTGTGTGAAGAAAATGTGGCTGATAGGGAGCAGTAGGTTATAAAATGGGAACAAAATTCATCACTGGTAGATGCTGGGTAGTGGAGATGTAGAAGGGCATGACCCAAGGGTACAGAGAAGAGCTGAGGAGAGCAGGAAGGTGATCTGGGAAGCAGCACATTCCCCAGTTCCCCTCCTTGCTGAAGCCAAGCACCCACCTGGGAGGGAGACCAGGATGGGATCTCCCTCCTTGCTGCTCATGCCAAGCCCTCAGTGGGCTCCCCAGGAGCACCCCCTTCAGCAGCTGTGGGCACAGGGCAGGAGAGCCACTGGTGCAGGGCAGGCAGGGGGGCTGCATGGCCAAATGCCAGGCTGTGCTCTGCCTGACTGCATCCTGCAGGCTGCACCTACTGAGCCACAGCTCTGGCCTTGAACCACCCTTGGTCTGTGCTCCATCAGCCCCCTGGAGCTG